TGAACACGCTGCCGATATCCCCCCCCCCCCCCCAACTTCGTTGAACATTCATCGTGGATCAACAATGTAGTAATAGTGCGAATGCAGTGCTGTTCTCCGCATCCAGGCCGAGCTCGAGAAGTCCTCAGACAAAGTAGGCACTGACTCTCGCAAAACGGTTCCTCTTCTCAGATTGACATTAACATGTATGTCTAGATAATCTGGTTCCTTGCTCCAACTTCCGCCCTGTGTCAGCAACAATTTAGAGTCCTCAAATCTCAGATTGGTGCAGCCCAAATCAAGCTTCTTGGTGGCGCCGACAATTATGAAACCTGGTCCGATGCCCGCATTTGGGATGATTACCTGAAGAATGTTCGTGTTGTCGTTTCAACCTATCAGATTCTTCTTGATGCCATATCACACGCTTTTGTGCATCTCGGCCAGCTCAGTCTCATAGTCTTTGATGAAGGTAAGTATATCCATAAAACCACAGTTGTTGTTTCGGGGTTAACGGATAATTAGCACATAATTGTGTCAAAAAGCACCCCGGAAACAAGATTATGGAGCGATACAAAGTCTGTAAAAGCAACGGCGTGCCGTGTCCAGCCATACTGGGTCTCACGGCCAGTCCTATCATGAAGTCAAACTTGAAGGGTATCTCGATAATAGAGCAGAGTTTGGACGCCGTGTGTAAGACCCCTACCATTCACAGGGAAGAGCTTCAATGTGCAGTAAAGCGACCGACTCTTGCATTCGTGGTCGTGCCGATTCCAGGCTCTCCGCCCCCCACAAAGAGTATGAATGACTTAGCGAGCGCCTATCGTAACATCGATATTTACCAGGACCCATACGTATTGGGACTTCGAGATCAAGCCACTGAAAAAAGCAAAATTATGCTCGGGAAAATATTGGAAAAACAAGACACTTTCACAATGAAACAGATAAAGTCCATGTATAACAAAGCTACGGCAATTCATAAGGGACTAGGCCCTTGGGCTGCGGATTATTTCCTTTACGAAGCAGTGACCCAATTCCTAGATTCTCTCAACCGCAACCTGACCTGGTTTGACACTTGGGATCTGGAAGAGAGGCGGTATACTGCCAAGGCACTTCAGGGAGTTGAAGTCAAACCACCACAGCCATTCGAGAAAACCGGCGTGCTCGACACGTCGGCCAAGTTCAATGCTCTAGTTCAAGAGCTGCAATCGGCGCCGGATGATATCCGCTGCATCATCTTTGTCGAGGAGACTGTTACAGTCTTCGTATTAGCCCATATGCTATCAGCAACTCCATCGATCAGCAACCGCTTTCGAGTGGGCACCTTGATTGGAACTAGTAGTTATGCAGCTCGAAAACGAGACATTGGGGAGCTCAACCAGGTGAAGGGTGTTCAACATCTTGAAGACTTCAGAACAGGAAAATTGAATCTTCTGGTCGCCACCAGCGTTGCGGAGGAGGGCATTGATGTTCCTGCCTGCAATCTAGTTGTTTGCTGGAACTCCCCGCCCAATGTTAAGTCATTCATTCAAAGGCGCGGTAGGGCCAGAATGGAGAACTCAAGGATCATCTTGCTGTTGGAAGACTCTTCAGAACAACATCAGGTATGGCTGGAGTTAGAGGGTGTGATGAAGCGGTGCATTGAAGACGACACGAGAGTTGCTCACGAATTAGAAGAACTCGAGGCACTGGATACTAACCCTAATATTTCCCCCTTGATCATTGCTAGCACTGGAGCCCAGCTCGATTTCGACCAAGCTAAATCGCATCTGGAACACTTTTGCCGGAAAATATCTTCCAAGCAATACATCGACTCTCGTCCTTATTATATCACGGAACAGATTGGCAGTTCTTCCGATGGCCACCCAATGATGAACGCATCAGTCCAGCTACCACCGTCATTGCCCCAGGCTGTTCGTCGTGTGAAAGGCCTTGGGCAATGGTATTCTGAGAAGAATGCTTTCAAGGATGCTGCGTTTCAAGCATTCAAAGCACTTTATGCGTCGGGCTTGGTGAATGATAACCTAATGCCCCTGTTCGACGACGTCCCGGAAGGAGTGGAGACTCGCAGTTCGGTGGTAGAGGTCAATGGTCTCTGGAAGCCATGGCAGAAGGTTGCTCAGTTATGGGAGCATCGTGATGAGCGAGAGCAGCGCGAAGTCCTACTGAAAGACGGGAATAGAGTGATGGCCAAGTTTCAAGCATCCCTTCCTTGTCATTTCCCGCGGATACCTCCGTTCTCCATATATTGGGATACTGAAAATACCTGGACGGTCGAAATAAGTGAACACCGCCACCATGTCTCTGCGTGTAATCTGAGAGAAGATCAGAGTGCGGCTCTGATCGATCTAGCTTATGGTCACCGCTGGTTGTCGGAAGATTTACCGCACATCTTGCATCTCCGATGCACGGAGCAGATCGGATTTCGCCAGCATGTAGGAAGGTGGGCAGCTGAGGAGAGCACCCTCGGCCCCGAGTTCGTCGTCCGCAATGGAGTTGGAAGAGCTCACTTATTCCTGGAATGGCTACCTTGCATGCCACCTCCCGCTTTGGTGGGGAAAATCGAGAATGATAATGAGGATAACCTAGACGACGCCCCATGGTTAGCGGTCAAGAATTGGCCAAGACGTCAAGACTTACTTCATCCCATTCTGCAAAGTCCGGAACCAAGGAATGAACCAGGCAAGTATACAAGCAAGAAGTATCCTCACATACTTCCGGCTTCACATTGCACGGTAGACACCATCGACCGTTCCAAAGCCTATTTCGGTAGTATCATCCCGTCGGTCGTTCATATGCTCGAGATCTATCTCACCGCAGAGGAGCTATGCCGCACCACTCTCAAGCCAGTAGCAATTTCTGACAACTCGCTTGTTGTAACAGCGATTTCCTCGCGTGCCGCTGGTGAAGCAACAGACTATGAAAGTTTCGAATTCTTGGGTGATTCGATCTTGAAAGTTCTAGCAACTGTATCCGTCATGATTCAGCGTGAGTAAATAGAAACTATCCGTTCATAATCACCAAACTAACCTCTACAACAGGCCCTCACTGCCCAGAAGGATACTTGTCAGCGATGAGAGATCATATTGTATCGAATGCAAGGCTGTGTCGTGCCTCGGTTGAGAAGGGGCTAGATAGGTTTATACTGACGAACAGATTCACAGGGCAAAAGTGGCGGCCTCTCTACATAAAAGATTGGGTTTCTGCCGATGACAAAACCTCAGACAAGAGGAACATGTCGACCAAAACCCTTGCAGATGTTGTCGAGTCTTTAGTCGGGGCGGCATTTCTTGATGGAGGCATGGAAAAAGCCCTCGCTTGTCTGCGCGTCTTTCTCCCAGAAGTGGAGTGGTACGGCTTGGTTGATGCACACATGAGACTTGCTGGCGGAAGAAACATTGTCACGCAGCTGCATCCCGATCATGAGCCCTTAGAGGATCTGATCGGTTATACATTCCGGAACAAAGCCCTGCTGATGGAGGCTCTGACACATACTTCCTGGGGACTTAGAACGTCCGCAGACATGTCTATGGAGCGCCTCGAATTTCTCGGCGACACAATTCTGGATAGGGTCGTTGTCTCAGCGCTCTGGGCGCATGAGGTGCAGCTCTCAAACAAGCGGATGCATCTCATACGAACTGCATGCGTCAACGCCGACTTGCTCGGCTTCTTGGTCATGGAGTGGAATACTACACAAGAGACTACCGAGATATCTCCAACGGACCTAGTGACTACTGTGTCTCAAAACCCAGTCCCTTTTTGGAAGTACATGAGGCAGAGGTCCGCGCACGTCGTCGACGCCCAAGTAGCCACAGAAGAGCGACATGCAGCAGAGCGAGACGCGATCCTCGACGCGATAGCGCACAGCCCCGAATATCCCTGGGCCAAGCTCGCTCACCTGAACATACCCAAGTTTATGTCTGATATGTTTGAAAGTCTGCTGGGCGCCGTGTGGGTTGACTCTGGCTCGATGGAGATATGTGCTCAGATTGTTGAACGGATTGGAATATTGCCGTACCTTCGACGCATGCTCTCCGACGACTTCATTGTCGCACACCCCAAGAACAAGTTTGGCGAGCTGGCTGCAAAGGATCTAAAAATCGTGAGGTATGAGACGACGGTACAGATGAAAGACGGTGTCAAAGATCTCATTTGTAAGGTCTTTGTCGACGAGCAGCTTATCGTTGAGGTGAGTGGCGGGGTGAACCCTGAGGAGATCGTGACAAAAGCGGCGGATGAGGCGTATCATATGCTGCTTGTGCGGGGAAACGATGTGAGTGATGAGATGATGATTGAATGATTTCACGAATTGCTAGATGTTAGGGTACTCGATTTGTTGAGCTTCTATGACTGTTAGATTACTAAGAGTGTAGGGCAAGATGAAGGACATGTCTTGAAATTAAATCATTGCTCGTTACACTCAACAGTCGGTTATTTAGACACCCTGATTTCCTTCCTTCTCCGTATGATGTATAGTAGGTATCTATGCTCTCTCGCAACCAAGGCTTAGAATCATCCGTCTCGCCTTTGAAACCCATGTCAAAGATGCCATGCGACTGGTAGAAGGTTCTGTTGCTTCCGCAATTACAGGCCGGCTGGCCAGTCCGCACTACGCGCACAGTGACGAGGGATCTCAAAGCTTGTCATTTGGAAGTAGAAAGTACGGCATGTTGTCATCTCTAATGGAAGGCTGCTCGTGTGTCGCTCGTGCTAGAACTGACAACCCGATCAACAGGTAGCGGTACGTGGTATTCATCTGTATGGTCTCATATATAGAGGCACTGAAACTTCTATAATCATGTTAAAGACACACACAGGATAATCAGAGAGCTGTTGCAATTGATCCTGCGTACAGCAGGCTATATATACACACGTGTGTAAAAAAAGAAGAATAATAAAAAACAGAACAGAAAATATGAAAAATCAAGTGGAATAAAAAAACCAAGAAGTACTGCAAGAAAAAAGGAAAGGAAGGGAAAAAATTGGGTTGCTGTTTCCAGTTGAACTGGAAGCATCAGGAATTGAGCCCGATGCGGGGGTCGAACCTATGAAAGTTGTTAACATCTAGGTGGGCAGTGGTACATGGCGAAGTAGACTTACCCGCAACCTTGAGATTAAGAGTCTCACGCTCTACCGATTGAGCTAACCGGGCGTGTTTGCTGGTTGGTGGTGTGGTGGGATGAAATTGTGATTTATGACTTGGTGTGAATGTTTGTGGGATGGAGACTGGGGCTTCGTCTAAGACTTTGTGGGACGGGGATGGGCTTGGGACGGGCTTGGGACGGGTGGTTGCTCTAGCACAGGTACCATACATACAGTACAAGGACCTACCTACTAATTATACTACTCTGGCGAAAAACAAGGAACACCTGGTATTACAGAGCAACGGAATGAACATGGACATGCTTATTTGCCTTTTCATACCAACTACAATGAGTATTTCCATGGGCTGATTTGCCTGATAGATCTCAGAGTCTATGTGCCTACTTTAATCGGATACATGACGTTTGATATGTGCAGATTGAGAGTATAGGGGTAGGGTGCCTCATCCAAGATCTAACGCGAGACGGGGCCATTGCAGAAACCGGTCATGATCCGATCCAAGATTTGATATAACAGCAACCGCAATCCTTGCGTGCCAACCGTCCAGATACCAGCGCCTCGGCGCCCTGTTCATGACCGCACACCAATAGAGGTAAATTAGCAGCGCTACAGGCTGTTTATCTGTCAAAGCTGCGGCAAAACCATCCATGACCGATGCCGGCCAGAGAATGAAGTGTTTCCAGGTCTGCGGCACCCCGTTGACGAGCCTAACCCACCAGATCAACTTCGCAAGAGCATGATCACAGGATTTCTGGGTCGCTGTCAGCGTGCCCTCTGGATGCCCAGCTGTACTTAGCTGGCCTATAGCTTTCAACATTTCGTCAATCGCAGATGGTGGAGTTGCCCAGCATCGTCTCCGTGCCAGAATATCGTTCAACTCGCTCTTTTCCAAGAACATCCCGATCTGATCTCCTATACTCGCAGTGCCTCTCAAGACCTGAAAGACATCGAGGTAGTCGAAATTGCCGTTTTGCGCCGATTGGGCGACAGCGAAGCTGAACATGATATGGCCGACCCCAAACATCAGGATGGGTAGCCAGTTGCCCTCGTGGACGTCGTGTTCAGCTTGTCGGAAAAGGGTCGATGCAGCCAAGTTGTACTGTATGGCTTTGACATACAAGTCGGAAGACCAAGACCCCCTCTGGAGAGACTGATATATGGCACAAAGCGAGGAAACAGTTGGCAGCAAGTATTCGACACTGGAATTCTGAGAATCAAGATCTCCATAGCTGGCTGGCTGCCCGTTTCGGGAGCCTGTGAAAAGGGTCCAGCTTGGATTAAGAAAAGAGGTACTTGTGTATGTCAGTAACTCTTGTTCACTAACGGAACAAGTGTAGTGATCGAGAGCTGCAAAAAGATTGGTGCAAGTCCCGAAGTGTGAAACACGATCCATGGCTGCGCTCAACTCCAACGGTCTGGAAGAGCAGGCTATTTCGAGTTGGGCGACGGGTGCACCGCTCACAGATGCACCCGTCTCAAACAATTGAGAATCATGAGCCCGAAGGTAGTCGCAGAACTCATCGCGCCGGTGGCAATTCGAACACACGGGACCTTGGCGATTACACTATAAGTCGGTTAGTTAGGGCTATGAACACATCAATTGGAAATCGTGTTCGCGGCACGAACCCGGACGCGTCTCTTTTTGCACTGCCCACAACCTGATAACAGAGCATATCAGTAAGTGTTGGGTATCTCCGGACTTTAGTTTGGGGTTGCTCGACCCTACGATAATCAGTCAAACTCCATCATGGTGTGTGAATAGGAATCGCCGATGAACTCACATTTCGAGATTTGCTGTGAAATTGTTTAGATCCCATTCGTCGCGATTGCTCCTCAGGGGCTGGTGAGCGATGAATAGGACTATGGGAACAGCCGAGCACGGCACTACGTATGGACTAGATCGTCATGCATTGGTAGAATAGTTGAATCTTCGGATAGAGTACCAAGGTATTATTAGGAAAGCAACTTTAGAGTTGCATGGCCAATCGCAATGGAACGATTTCCAGCATCCCCGTATCATTCCAACCCTCGCATCAGCAGAGGCACGGTGAGCAGGGGGGCAGGGTCAGCTTCAGTGCCGAGCTCTCTACCCCCGACACTCTACTCCATGTCAGGCTTAGTGTGCGAGGATCCTGGTAAGGCTGTGCCGTCGCCGACATAGGCTGTAGCATCACGTCTGCTGCGACTATCGACGACAACATACGCATAATAACAATAAGCTCGTCTTGAATCATCAAACCTTCAAGCAGTCTAGTGTGCGAGGGCGCTGTGACAATGCCTACCACAAGCATGCCGTATCCTCAGGGGCACGGTCAGCACCGCGCAGTCGCAGCGATGGGCAGCTGATGGAAGCATGAAGGAGACAGGAAACATAAAAGGGAGATATGCCAGCGCCGGTTCTTGTAGTGCCTGTCAACACAATACAGCACTGGCTCTTGACGTTTCATTATATTGTCCCTCTCAACTCTCACGGTGTTTACTACTCCGGCAAAAGACAGCAAGATGAAGACGAAACAGCTACTCTTGCGACAACTCGTCTTCCTGGCGTCAGCGTCAGACATTTTGGCATGCTCACCAACAGCTGCACACAAATTGACTGTTCGTGACATCCAACATCAAGCATCCACGCGGCCTGTCCCACTTCCGTCTACCAAGACAGCCGTCCGGAAAGTTCGTGTGTTCAACGGCCAGGGCTTCACCGATCCGCAAACAGTGATATTTGCGGATGGCCTCATCACGTCAGACTCCGAGGACATCGAGACCGTACTGGAAGAACCCGAGAAATTCCTCATCCCCGGACTGATCGACGCCCATGTTCACGTGCCGGACATCACCGGCCTTGCCGGCATCACCTCTTACGGCGTGACGACCGTATTGAACATGGGATGCAGCGACTACGCCGTCTGCACCGCGCTGAAACACCACAACCAGACAGATCTCGCCTCGCTCCTCTCTGCAGGCGTAGCGGCCATAGGCAACGGGACGAGCAACGGCGCGCTCCAGCCTCCGGCAGACCAGCTCGTATACCCAGACACAGACCTGCCGTCGCTCGTGTCGTGGGCCTTTGGCAACGGGAGCGACTACTACAAGCTCATAGCCAAGCCGGCAAGCCTGACGCAGGCCCAGCAAGACACCCTCGTGTCGACAGCACACGGCGTCTTCAAATGGCAGACCATGACGCATGCATCTGATATCGAGTCTTTCAACCAAGCGGTGGCATCGCGCAGTGACGGGCTGCAGCACATCCCCGACGACGGAATTCTATCCAACAGCACCATAGCCGCGATCAAGCGCAATCACCAGTTCGTCACCCCTACCATGAACCTCTTTCAGTACGGCTACAGCAACCCGGCCGTGCTCGCCTTCCTCGGCCGCACGAACGGCGCAAACGCCTCATACGTTAACGTGGAGGAGAACGTGAGGAGACTGCACGGCGCTGGCGTGCCCATTCTCGCGGGCACTGACGCCGTGGGCGCCGTCGCGCCGGGCCTGGAGCTTCCCTTTGGAAGTACGCTGCATGACGAGCTGCGACTCTTGCATGGCGTCGGGCTCACGCGGCTTGAGGCGTTGAGGGCCGCCACGGTTGAGACGGCGGTGTGGCATCGCTTGTGTGATCGGGGTGAGATCAAGGTGGGCAAGCGCGCTGATCTGGTGCTTCTGAATTCGAATCCGCTTTTGAATATTTCGAACACGAGGGATATAGCGAGGGTGTGGGTTGGAGGGGTTGAAGTTCGGGATGTGGCTGGACTTACCCAGTCTTCTTGATTCATGGCAGGGTTCTCCGGAGTAGAATGCAAAGTTGATAGGTGCATCGGCGAGGAACAGCAACATACCTGCCAGCCAAATTTGTACACCATATGGCTTTTTTATGAGACTAGACATTTTCTCCTCAAAAGATTGAGAATTTCATGGCTCAATGAGAAAGAAAACAAAAACAAGAGAGAGATCAATCAATACACGCGATTTTGCAGCTTCGTAGAAAGTGGTAAGACAACAGAAGTGTTTTGGGGAGTTGAAGGACATTTGCGCTTGAGAACATGTACAACAAGCTGTAAGTCTACCTAGGTATCTAGACTGCTCATTCTGAAGACATCCGAGATGCTGCCTGTAGGAGCTGCATTGCGCTACCTACTCAAGCTTGTAGAAGTGTTAGCACCTTCCTATTGTTTGCAATCATGGGTGAAAAAGGAGAACGAAGATCTTATCCGATCCGATCATCCGACACCATGCTGACTGACCCTGGCTTCCCGTGCTGTCATCGGCGGTAGCGTCGGGATCTCGCTTGATCTCGCAGATCAACTGCGAAGCATACGGATATGCGTCTTGAGCGCAGACGAGTTATAGCCACGGCTTGCTTTTCACAGAGCCAGTGTTGGGATTAAGAGCTTGAGGCACAGCTCATTTGACCGAGTGGGCTTCCCGCCAAAATGGAACATACGATGCGATACCATTCTATCAATTTGTCCTTATCACATCTTCCCATGTGCAGACACTGTACAAAAAGCCTGTCGCAGTATGTCATTTAGTAGTGGACTCAAGGCCTAGGGTCTTTTTACCTGTATTGGAGTTCCCGACTTGCTAACTAGATTACCTGAGGCTATTACCTATGGTAGACATTTCATTTTGTAAGGTCGTGCTATACGGAGTCAACTGTAAATGAGTACGAGATACATATACTGTACTGTAGCACTAGATAGGGAGTTGTAGATTTTCATCGTATGGAAATGTTGACGCTAAGTCCAGCTACGGCTACGGCTATTCAGCCGTCTATGTGGAGGAGAGTGATCTAAAATTGAATTTATCAGCTGAAAGAGAACCATGCTGCGCTGCCGTAATTCCCAGTTTTTGCCTGTCAGCCACACAGGGGATCGGCCGACCAGTAAGTGATAAGCAAATCCCCAGCTGAGAGGTGTGGGACGGTAAGCCAAGCTTGAACTACAATTGCAACAACAATAACACACTACCCACATACATAAACATCTGTGAACACTTCGCTGTGACCAAGCTCATGATAACTGTCTTGATTGTGTTTCTTCGGCAATAGCGTGC